GGCGGTCTTTGCGCGTCTGACAGTACAACCAAGCCAAAGCTAAGGATTAAACACAAAAACCATGATTGACTCTCCATGACTTATAATGAATCAACAATAAACAAGCCGAGTTATATGCCTCAACAGTCAGTTGCTTTCTACTAATAGGAAGCCTTTATTTATAGTGAAATTCATTGAGTCATCTAAACAAAAAAGCCACACACCTGCTCATCTCTTTCACCCAAAGTGGGTTTTCTTTTCCAAGCGATTTCCTGTGTATGCGCCATTAAGGCATGGTTCATATCCTTGTTAGGTGAAATTTTATCTGTTGTTTCCACGAGGGGATATGGCTTTGAATTGAAATTGCGATTAAATTCCTAATTTCCCGATTTCCGACGCGTTCCATTGTTGAAATCATCAGGAAAACGTTATTAAATCTTTACTGATGACCTTCCTTTTTTTGTTCATTCCTTCTATACTAGTTTTCTTTTATAGTTTTCACATTTTACCGCAATATGAAAGAAACTACGCACCTCTGTCGCAGTTATTTAACAGTTACTTAGGAGATAAGATATTGAGCTTGACGCTCCTAGCATGTCATGGACACAATTAACTTTTGAGTGTTAATTTCATAAACATTCAACGACGCATCTTAATAAAGATGAGATGTTTTTTTTAATTTGTTGATCATTAAATAAGCTTTTCGAGCCACATTTTTTTATGAATCTGGAAAGAATAACAACTTCTTTTATCTCGAAGGGTGGACCATGCAGTTGTGAAAAGATAACCAAGGGCGAAGGAAATTCTCTGTAATTCTCTTTCTAGAACTGAAGAGAAACTTTAGGATAACAAAGGGTGGCCGTAGAGAAGAGGCTTTATGCAAGCTGTTGGAAATTGGTTATCAGATTTAGGTGTTTCAAGAAAATAAGGAGGCGGGTCACCATTAATCGATGATCTAAGTAATGGATGATCAGAAGAGATAAGGAAAAAAACAGGCCACTATGTAATTTGGACAGCTGAGTTAACTAAAAGGTATACTTAGGCCGTTAAGGAGAATTTTTTGGATCTTTTTTAAAATCAACTTTCCACCGACCACACTGTAATTTAGTCGTTTACTGAAACTATTACGTCCTCAATTCATTGTTCACTCGATTGGCGTCAAATTTACCAACAGAAACTTTTTAAAACCGTTATTAAGCACTCTTTAAACCTTTACACACCACCACAGCTGTTTCTCATGTCGCTTGCAAAACCGAAACATCACCGAAGAGAAAAGCTTTTTTAAAAAAATGGCTTGTAAGCTCCTTCTGTAAGAGAAACAAAAACAGAGGTTGAAAATGAAAAAAAAAACTAAACAAAAAAATAATAATAAGACAATAAAAGAAAATGGCCATAAAGCAATGTTCAATATTGACAGTAGATAAGAAAAGACATATACAGGGTCCCAAGTGAATTTTTAATTGTAGGAAAAACCTGGCAGGCGCTGTTTTCGTGTTGTTACCTTATCGCAACCCACTTGTCCCGCGTCTGTCTTTTTTCTGGCTATTATCCTCCCACACCTTTGTACGTCATATAGATCAAAGAGCCCTCGGTTAATTATAATTCAACGCCAAATGTAAAGGGTACTGTAGATCATTAAAACGTGGGATAGGCTTGGTTTTCGACACAAATAGCTGTAAAAAAATTTTGCCAGTAGAAAATGTTGGATTACCAGCCCAAAGGAAAGAAAACTGTTGCAAATTTTATTCGTTATATATTTAACAATTAATGGATGAGGCTGAGTATCTTATGAAGAATTATAAAGATCGAGGAGGGTGTTATCCGTCGAGGCCGTAGGCCGAGTCGGATAACACCCTCCGAGATCTCCATAATTCTTCATGTGATACGAAAGCCGAATTCATTAATTGTTAAATATATAACGAATAAAATTTTTTTTACAGCTATTTGTGTCGAAAACCAAGCCTATCACAAGACTCCTATCACATGGCATAAATTTTAGATTGAGGAGATTCTATCTCTGGCCTTAGTTTCCGTATCCGTTAAAGATAAACAAGCATTTTTCTCAGTCACTTTCGTTGAACCCAATACAACGCACAGCTCGCTTTACACGTGGTTTTCTACGTTGGCTGTCAATGAAATACACATAATGGTTGACTACTTTAACAATATTTGAAAGAAAAGCTAGAATAGATTTTTAATTTTGCATCTTTCTGTAATTTTCTTTTAACTATCGTCTGACGATAGTTACTTAGGCAGACTTAGCCTGCCAGGTCGTAAAAAAATCACTAGTAGCTCGCTCTAGTATATTAACCCTTTAAACCCTAAGATCAACATTTGAATTCTCATTTGTTGCCCCTATTCATTTCCTACGGAAGTAGTGGGGCGAAGTTGATAAAATATCAAGCAAATTCACCTTGTGTGATCATGTCCGTAATTCGCATGACCACTATGTGCTACAAGGCATTGATATTACAAGGAGAAATTCGATGCTGATCATTTTTAGGGCTTAAAGGGTTAAGAAAAGTACTAACTGCCAAGAAAAATCTCGATTCGCCTGAACAGGGGCCGCATGGAATCGTTGGGTAATGATGACGTTTCTACTGTTTGCGCCCGCAAGTACGAAATGATTAGGTTGACTTAAAACAGAAAATCCAGAAGGGACTGCTTGTAGGTAGATTTTGTGACATTTATCAGTGACATTCTGTGGAGCAGCTGTTTTGAAAGTTATGAACCAAAAGACACTCGCTAAGCGCAGATGAAGTTATACGGTGCGTATAACTGTTTTTGTTATATGGCTGAGTCTGTTTTCGCCATGCGATTGGTCAATTTGCGGTCCGTAACTTGCTATACGGACCAAAATTTTTAAGAACGAATGTCGCTAAGGTTGAGTAAAATTGGAAATGGTCAAACAAAACCTTTCCTCATACTTTATGTGTAGTTAGTACTTCAGATGAAACTATTCACTGTGGCATTTGTTTGACTTCTAACAAAAACCTGCACTGGGCATCAGGGGGGAAAGTTTGGGCCAAAAATTGCATTTTGGGGGACAATTTTCTCCTTAAAAATTGGAGTTTTGTTAGGGAAATATTTCAGAAAGCAAACTAACAGTTAAAAATCTGTTTATATGATAGCAAAATATCATCCTTCCTCTCAATAAAAATGTTATCAATTTTTCCCTGGGCCCCCCCTGACGGCCCCTGTTCATTGTCATTTACAAGGGGGGGAAACGTTTTTTGACAAGGCTTAAAAATAGACATTTTTGAACCCCTTTTTTTCTTACTAGCACTCAGATTTAGATCAAAATTGAAACAGGATGTAAATATTTCACCCTTTGTAAACCATTTTATGCTTAGAAATCCGTGGGCACTCGATACATTTTTGCATGCCAATCAAATGAAAATGTATACCTGAGACAAAATAGTAAATTTTCGCAACTTTTGTTAACCGCTATCTTTCTTTTAATTCATGTCTTTGGGGCGATGTTAAGCAAGAACGTTGGATGGTTCCTATAGATTGCATTCCTTAACGTTTTACAGACAGTCATTGAGCATATTAACGATTTTTGGTTTTCAAACCAGGCATCGTGTGGTTGGTTGCTAATTTATGTAACTTACTACCCGATATAACTTGGCAGGAAAATCTGATTCGACGTTTTCCAGCAAAGTAAATCGCTTCGATGGGATTATTAGTAGATAACTGACACGTTACAGACCATTAACAAGACTAACAAGGCAATCAATGCGAGAAACATTTCAGAGCCAAAATCAAATCACACACCAGTCACGGTTCGTTTAGGTCTCATCCACCATGTCGTCGCAGTGCGTATCTATAAAGTTTCCTTTCACACTGACACCCTGCCAAATTACTGCGGCTGCTTACGATGGGCAGAAACATATTTTTCCTTACCGTGCATG